GATTAGAAACAGGATGCTGTTCTAGACATTGTCAGCAGTGGCTTCCCAAGGAGGACAAGGAGGGGGAGGGGGAGAAGGAGGAGAAAGAGGAGGATGAGGGGGAGAAGGATGGGGGGAGGGGAACCAGCACAGCTTGTCAGTCTCTGCTGAGTAAAGGTTAAAAGAATACCTCCCTTTTCTTCTTCTTGTCCTCACACCCCAGCCTGCAAAATCTTGCACAGCTTTTCCTTGTTCCAGTAGCTGCTCAAGCGTGTAATAAGTTGAGTTCCAATGAATTGGAACCTCCTGTTTTAGGTGATGTTTCAGCAAGTTGCTCTTCAGCTGGAGCTGGGTCAGGCATATTTTTTCCTCAAACATTGACAGAATGGCTGAAGTGTTCAGATTTTCTGTGTCATCACGAAGATATGTGTAAGTGTTCCTGTTATGATGCAGAAAATCATTTTTGAGGGTGTTTAAGAAGTCAGCAAGGCCCAGCATGAAACCAGAATCTTCTACGGTGCAAGCTGCTTACTAGGAAGATGCCAAGGGGTGCGTGAGGAGAGGAGCGCAAGCATGGGGGCCCTCATTTCCTCAATGCAAGAAGAGTCGCCTGTGCCCGCTGCCCAAGCCATACCACCTGCCAGTGTTACTGAGGAGAAATGGATTTCTGTTTCATTTGCAAGAGATTTCTTTTTCCACACAGATGTTACCATACTGACTGTTGCATTATTTGTTTCTGTGGTACGGTTTACCCAGGATAGTATCTATTCAATGAGAATGAGTTATCACAGTAACAAGGACAGAATGTTATAAGGAATCTGTTCACTGACTGAAAGAGTTCCAAACTGGGCTGGTGGTTCATGCCTGTAATCCCAGCACTCTGGGAGGCTGAGGCAGGAGGATCACAAATTCAAACCTAGTCTGGGCAATTCAGCAAGACTTTGTCTCAAAAAAAAAAAAGTTCCAACAGGGGCATTCAAAAGACCTTCATCCACTGGCTAGATGATCTATACTGCAGTGGCTGGACAGAGAGAGTAAGCCAGAGAGAGAGAGACAGACAGACAGACAGAGAGACAGACAGACAGAGAGAGACACAGAAAGACAGACAGAGACACAGAGGAGGGAGAGGGAACAGCAGCAGAGCAAAAGGAGAAATTAGGAAAGAAGGCTGCAGGGAAAGGACAAGTGCAACTGAGATGTGATAAGCTTGAAGCGAGCCAGAGAAAGGAATCAATCACGGGGAAAGAAGAAAGCCAGGCAATGCAGGAAGAGGAAAGAAAGGAAGAAAGAAAAAAGAAAAATAACTGGAAATAATGAATAGGGAAGTAAAGAAAACAAGTGATTTTGAAATGATCAGACACCAGGACAGCCAGCTGGGGACTGGGTCTTCCCGCCCTGCAGAGAAAGCTCAATGTTCGGGGGCTACAGGAGTGCCGTGCAGGATGGTGCCCAAGCCGCCCTGCTGAGGCTGGTCCCGGAGGCCCGGTGAGCTCTCCGCCGCTGGGATTGTAGAGAAGCTCTCTAGCCGTCTTTCAGACTCGATCCACACATGCTGCCGTGGCCAGCAGGGCGAGGTGTGGCCCCGACTCTAGCTGTTCTCATGGTATCCCGAGGCCACAGCGCGTCATTCACCCGGAAGGCGTCCTAGTGCAGCCTGACTAGGTGGTGACCTCATCTGCCTGGGGACAGCTGCCAATTCTGGCACCATGTGTAAAAGAAACTGCTGTGGATATTGTCTTAGTGGCCCTGAGGGAGGATGTGGTGGCCCCCACACAGGGCAACACACGCTTCCTTCCACAAACCCCTACTTTTAGAAAGCTGCCCTGAGGAAACCGCATGGTGTCCTTGCGTGTAGGTAGACAGCTGGGCTGTTTGGCTCCGTGTGTGCGCGCGTGTACATTCCTTCCATAGCAAATTCTTCCTCTGGGGTCCACTCTGAGTCATGCTCAGGAGGCCATGGCTTTTGGCCAGTTGATTCTGATGAATCGGGCAGCGGTGTAGACACAAGGCACACATACAACTCACAACTCTTTTCTCTTCTGAGTAAGCCAGGGAGAGGCTGAACTCCAAACAAACCTCCGAGGAGGTTTGATTTCTCTCTGATGCCTTTTTGCTGACCAGCTGCCATAGCTAGGCCCTTCAGCTCTGTTGTTTGTGGGTTCTGAGTGGGTAAAAAGTAGGTGAGCGGCAGAGCTCACCAAGTTCCCTCCATCACCTCTACAGGTCCGCTGACAATGGACAGATAGATCCAAAGGTACCGGTCACCAAAGGTACCGGTGACGTCTGGGGGTGCGCAGAATTCCCCGATGCTCCCCTGTGACCCACGCCCTTGAGCATGGGTGGGACCCGTCACTTGCTTCTAATGGACTGAAGGTGGCAAAGTGATGGGGGTGCAGCCCTGCTATGGTGAGGTTTCCCTCTGCCACAAAGGGACTCAGCAGGTATCATTAAGTTTCTTCTTCAGTCAACTTTATGTTAACAGGGAGATTATTCTGGGTGGGCCTGGCCTAATCCACTGGGCCCTTTACAGGGAAATGTAGAGGTCAGAGATGGGAGGAGTCAGGAGTCATTCCTTCTGGCCCTGAAAGTGTAAGACACTTCTTTATCCCCAAGGAAATGAATCAGGAGCAGTCATGTAAACTGAGAAGGGGACCCCAGCCACGGCAAGACCCATCCCTGGCTGAAACCCTCATTGGTTTCAGAGCACACAGAGTCCAGGAGTTCTGCTCAGACTTCTCGCTGAGGATCTGTGGGACGATAGACATCTGTTTTCAGCCACTGTGCTAGGAAAAAACAGTAACACAAGAACCACACATCCACAGAGGTTCCTCAGGAGGGAAATGAAGCTCTTGGTCTAACACGTGGAAACAGTAACTCCCATTTGTAAGTAGTAATAGCTTGCATTAAACTCTTATTCTGACATGGTGCCTGGTGCTTGTGTACATATGAAGTGTGATAAAAAATACTGTGAATGTTTAACTGTTTTTTTAAAAAAATTGTTACAGTAAAACAGGCATTAACATTAACCACCCTCCCTCCAAATAGTTCCACGCGAACTTCAAAGATAATTAACCTATTGTTCTTGCCACTTTCTGAAAACATTTTGGAAATCTTCTTTCATGATTGTCTTTAATTGCACTGTTGTGGCTGCCTTGTTATCCTAAATCCATTCAAAATGCTTATCGTCCATGGTCATTTGGACTTTGGGGAAGAGCCAGAAGCCACATGAGTGCCGGATTGGAGAATATGCCGCATGAGGACATACAATGATTTTGGAGCTGGCCGTTCTGTTGGAAGGCACTTGGAAGCAGCCTTCACCATATTTTTGGCCACACCTCATAAAGACACACAAAACAGCACTTCCAGAAATGTTTCAGACAGTGACAAGAACAATGGGACAAATGCTTTGGAAGTGGAGTATTGAGGGGGTATCAATGCCCCCAAAGATGTGTCTTTGACTGTAATATACTTTGTAATGTAAACATCTGCCATATATTTTGATTGCCCTTTATGTGTTTCCTCTAACTGTCACAACACTGAGTGAGGCAGATGTCATTTTATAGAGAAGAAACTGAGACTTAACAATGTGTAATGATTTTCACGAAGTGGTGGAACCGTAAACTGTATACTCAGTTCTCTCCCACTCAGTGGCGGCGGCTTTCCCTGGTGGTCGCGCTAGACCCTGTAGGTCTGTATTTGGCACCTGATGAATGTTTCTTTACTTTTAGATGCCACCTACCATTATTTACCGGAAGGCCACGGAGATCCTTCCAAAAGCAACACTTTCTTGGGAACTGTCCTTGGGGAGAGCCGTTTCGGGTGGGATTGAGTCTTGGTTGTGCTTGTACAAAGCAGTTAATAATTGTCTGATTTTCCCAGTACCTCTGGCTACCTGCCGAGGGTCGTTCTTCATTCTTTTATTCATTTGCATTCATTTACTTGTTAACAAAGAAACACATCCCAGTGAAGAACTTCAATGGATAGTTTATCAAGGGGGTAAAGGCAGAAGGGTTGGAACATTTCTGCTTGGTTATGCTCATTAAGGAAAATTATCCTATTCAGCATACGATAAAATTCACAAGCCTGTGTAACACTGGCTCAAACAGGGCCCTGGCTTTAATGGTCAGGAAAAATTTTCAGTTAAATGTAGTATGTGGGTAAGGTACCCAGTCCTTCAAAGTTCATGTTTTCAGTAGTGGTTGTAAAACAGAGAATCTGAGCCAGGCCTGATGGCTTGGAATCCCAGCACTGAGGGAGGCTGGGGAAGGAGGATGGCAAGTTCAAGCCCAGCCTGGGCACGATAGCAACTTCATGGGATCATGTCTTAAAATAAAAAATAGCAAAGAGACTGGGGATGTAGCTCAGTGCTAATGCCCTGGGTTCAATTTCTACTACCGTAAAACAATCAAATAACAACAACAACAACAACAACAAAACCCGGAGAAACAGAGCATCCCATTTTAATTCTTCCTTGGCCAATGCAAGTACAAGTAGAGAATTCCCCAGAGTACCACAACTAACACTGGACGTGCATAGAGCACCGCCACTGTTCCACGTGCTCATGATATAGAAAGGGACAAAAAATGCAAAGCCCCAGGCCACATGGAACTTTTATTTTAGATGGGGCCACTGGTGACACCCAGCTATACATGCTGCAGCGTCTGGGTCCATCAGCCTGGCCTGGGAGACCCACCCCTCCGTGGAGAGTAGCCATAGGTGTGGCAAGGCACACCAGAAGCTTTTGCAGCAGTCCTATCCAGGTGAGAGGCGGTGATTTGGGCCAGGTGGGAGGGTAGATGTAGAAAGAACTATTTGGGAATGACTGTCCTGCAGTGGCGGAGGGCTGCTGCTGAGGAAAGGTGTCCCAGACAGCTGCCAGTAGCTGGCCAGAGTACCAGCGATTTGCAGATGAGAGGACACTGTCACAGGGGGAGTGAGACCAGATGCCTTCCCTCCGCCTCAGTCACACACACACACACACACACACACACACACACACACAGGGGGCCTGTCCTCTCACAGGCTGTGCCCACAGGCAGGGCTCAGCAGCTGCTGGCCTCCAGGTGTTTGCTTGGTGGAAACTGTTGAAAGACTTAAAATTCAGTTTGAATTGGAGCAATTTCCCCAGTAGTAGAAATCACAGCGCAGGTTTTCTTTTTCCTGACAACAAAACAACAAATCCTGTTATAAGCTGTTACTTTCAGGAGCAGAGCATTTCATCATGAAAATTTTATTAAAACGTAAAGTCACAGTGATAGCAGTACATACCAGCATCACCAGACCAGGTCCAAATAGGATTTCAGAGAAAACAGTGAAAGAGAAGAGTGACCCCCTGTTAGGCTTCGACATATGGGTTGTTACTTCCTTTTGATACGTTCATTTTTCACTGAACACGATCGAGCTGTCTTTCTTAGGTTAAATTCTGGGTTCTTTAACATATCGTTGTACCCCTAGATTCTTTGTTGTTGAAATGCTGCCTATTGTAACCAGAAAGCAGAGCCCTCGCCTGGTTTTGGAAATATTTAGCAGAAGGCATAGACTTCAAAGGTTATATGAAGACCCCTTTGGGGTCCCACCAAGTCTCTGCCAACGTCCCCTGCCACATGTCGTGTCAGGGTGGTCTCTCTCCATTGGCAATGGCTCTAATCATCGGAGACTGATTCCTATGTTCGGTCCCATCCTGTTTTTCTGTATTTTCCATTCATTCCCCCTTAGTTCTTTCTCTGGAAGATAACTTTTAGTTTCAAACTACACAGTAGAAAAACAAAGTACCTTTACGGCCCTCACATCTGATTCAACTTCCTATTTATAAACCAAGAAATCTTTGAATATGTGCAGACGAGGAATGACCAGGGCTGGTATTAAATGCTTAGGTTTCTAAATGGTCTTAGAAGTCTCATCAAATGAAATCAAATCTGTGGCATTAAATGACAGCAAAAGGAGCTTAGATCAGTCAAAGGGAGCTAGGCTGGGATTTTGTTTTTCGCTCCCAAGGTGGTTGCTAGCTCACAATGTTCCTGAGGTGAGCTTGGGTCACCATTGTAAATTTACATTCAGGGCTCCCATGCCAAAAATTTTTGCTACAAGAAACCCTTTCCCTTTGGTTAAAGACAAATAAACATGTCCCGCTGAGTGGAACTCCCCTCCTTCCCCCACCTTCCTACAAAGCATAAAGGTCTCCATCTATTCCAGGGGGTCAGGCATGTTGCTGAGAAAAATATAGATATCTTAAATGATAATTGGTGAAAACAGAGGTTAAAAGGTCAGCTGACTAGAGGGGATCCAGAAAAATAGCCTATGCTGGCAAAGGGTTGGGGGTGGAGGAGACAGAAAGAGAGACAGAGAGAGAGACAGAGAGAGAGACAGAGAGAGAGACAGAGAGAAAGAGGAGGATGGAGCTCAGAAATCATATAAAGATTTTCTCCCCTTAAATTTATGTCAGTGTCCAATAAATATAATTTATTTTCACAGAAAACAGGTTGGACATTGTTACATCTATTTATGTATATATTAGCCATAGTGATGAGGGTGGTGGGGTAAGGTTGCTACATCAGGATTGGGTTAATTGTGATTGGCTACTGAATATTTTCTTAAAATGAGTTTAGTGGTTTTTGTTTGTACATTCTATCTTTTCTTTTAGGGGAACTCTGGGTATTGAGTCGCTGTACAGTCACATGTTTCAAACCTCATAGTTTATATGTGTAATGAGACTGCAATGAAGCCGTATCTATTCTCTGCTAGACCAGAGTAGAGGCATTTTCTCTTTGTGAGAAATTAGTGTGTATGGCAATTGTCCTGCTTACCTTGACCTTCATGGTAGGTGACGCTTTTATTGCCATTTAAACAAAGATGCTGTGGATAAACCATTTGGAGGAACCAGAAGGCAAAGTATTTTGCCCTGGATATAAATACATCTCCCTAGCGATTTATTAGCAGGTGAACCTAGATGACAACAGATTTCTGAATTGAATATTCTGCCTGAGGAATGGCCTCTGATGTGCATTAAGACCTGTACTGTAATAACCACACTCTGAATTTGTGTGTTATGCTCTCCTGATTATACTATGCACCAATCTTTAGGACAATTGTCAGATGGTAGCTTGCGAGCTGCATGGTCAGATGAAATGGCTGCTTCACGGCATAAGCTGACTTGTTAGCCAAGAAAAATCTTTTAAGGACTCTGAGAGGGACGCATCAAGATTATTTAAGGTTGGTTTCTTTGGTTTTTTTCCCTAAGCGCCATATTCATTTACGACATTTATTTCTCTGAGTTCTAGTTTCTGAATTCTGCTGTTATTATTGTTATGTGTAAGAAATAGTAGAAGCCTATTCGCCTTCTGGGTATCTTGTTTCCAGAAGAATTAAAAACATCATACCACAGCGATATATGTGCACCAATATTTATAGCAGCACAATTTGTCATAGCTAAATCTTGGAAACAACCCAGAAGCCCATCCACTGAGGAATGGATAAAAAACATGTGGTATTTTTATACAATGGAGTATTACTCAGCTATAAAAAAGATAGATTTGAGGCTTTTATAGGTAAATGGGTGCAACTAGAGACCATACTCATAAGTGAAATAAATTGGACCCACATGTGTAAACATCATATTATCTCCCTAGTGTAAGAGCATGAAAGAGTAAATAAAACCCCAAATGCATAATGTGAAAGGAAAATAAATTCCTCACAGGAAGGACAAACTGATTTGAGGGAAAGAAGAAAAAGAAAGTACTAAGGCATTTTATATAGATAGATAAATAGATAGCTGGCATAACTGTACTGCTGATGTCTGGTGATTTATTGAGGGGAACAGTTAATGCTTAAAATTTTTTTATATATTTTGACCAATTTTGCATGCTTATATCTGGTAATCTGAGCAATTTATGTGAAGACAACAATATGCAATATAACAACCATTGGTGAATTCCTACCATCCTGTCTAGTGAAACTCTGTATTGTCTCTGATGTTCTTTTAAATTATTATTTTCTTATTCCTTTTAATGGTTTGATCTATCTTCCATTCTAAATCTGTTAATCTCAACAACTTCGTTGAAGATAACAATGTGTAATATAACAACCACTGTTAAACTCTATCATTTTGTTTGAAACCCGTATCATTTTTCATGTCCTTGCTTTGTTTTGTTTGTATTTTGCTATTCTTTTTTTTGTTACTATTCTCTTTAAAATAAAAAAATCTATAAAAAAAGAAGAAATAGCAGAAGCACATAAATTTCTGAAAGGAGCTGATGTACTACGTGAAGGATCCCTTCCCTTCTCTCTCCACTACTTGATCCTCTGTCCCTCCTTCCTTTCTTCCTCTTTCTTCTTTCCACAAAAATTGAGTGCCTAACTAGTGTCCAGAGCTGTGCTTGGTGATAGTGGCCAGTGGTGAATAAAGCCGAGGCAGCCCCGTTTGTCTTACAAAGAAGCATGGTGCCCACTGGACCTGGCAGCCTGATTCCCCTCTGCTGGTGATCTAACCTTCTCATCGAGCCTTGGACCTCACAGGCACAGAAAAAGAACTTATCACCAGGCCATCTGGGTTGCCTCAGACATCTTTATGCTGTTGTGGGAATGGGTTTATGCATTAGTCTTTCAAGAACTGCATTAGTATTTTTATTAACACCAATTGTGCTCCTAAAGTATGGCTAAATTGAGTGTAGGATATCGAAAGTTTAGTACTGAAAGCCCAGTCCTTCAGTGCAGTCCATAGTGTGGGGTTAAAGGTGACACAAGCTACCATCCCTCAAAATTCGCAGGGGAGGGGTTCTGAACCCCTTCTCCCACACATATCAAAATCTAACCCTGCTCAAGTCCCTCACATACCACGGTGCAGAGTTTGCTTGCAATTCATGCCCATCTTCTCCATATTTTAAGTCACCTCGATTACTTATAATGCCTAGAACACAAGATAAATGAGAATGTAAATAATTGCTATACTATATTATTTAGGGACTAATGATAAAAACATCCGTACATGTTCAGTAGAGATTGGCTTTTATTTTCAATTTGAGGTTGGTTGACTCTACCAATGTGGAACCAGTGGATACAGAGGGGCAACTGCATGTTTCAACCCTCCAAGGCCACTTGATTGTCCTTGCAAAACGGCTTTTTTGTTAAATAGTTTTTATTATGCCACTTTCTCTCCATAATTGGCCTACTGGCTGTATCTCTTTGTCCATCTTTAAGTGGTTGCTATAGAATTTACAACACAGATCTTTAATTCATCACAACCAACCTTCACATAATATTCAAGCACTTCAGGTAGAGTGTGAGAACTCTACAGCCATATATTTTGATTTATCCCCCCATCCTTTTTGCTAGTTCTACATAGTTTATAAGGCCCATAATATATAGTTATTATTTTTTCCTGTGAAAGTCATTTATATTTTAAAGAGATTTAAAAATATGATTTTTAACTTTTATTTTAAATTGACATGCATTTGCACTTATGTATGAGGTACATTATTATAATTTGATACATGTATATAACATGCCATGATCAAATCAAAATAATTAACATTTCATTTCCTCAAATGATATCAATTTCTTTGTGTGAGGAACCTTAAAACTCTTCTCTAGTTATTTTGAAATCTGTGTAATTAATTATTTTAGACTGTAGTTACCTTGCTGTACTGTTTAATATAGGAACTACTTTCTCTTCTCTGACCATATTTTGGTACCCATTATTGAACCCCCTATTCTATACAGAAAATTTTTTATTTTTCCCATGCAGCTGTCATTTTGTGTACTCTTCACCCCATATTTCAGTGTAATTTAATATTCTTTTGCCTGAAAAGCTGCCTAAATACATTTTATGGAGTTTAGCTTTCCTCTTGACTTTTTCAGCTTTTATTTGTCTGACAAATTCTTTATTTTGCAAGACATTTTCAGTGGATATCAAACAGCAAGTTGACACTGTTTCCTTTTAGCTCTTAAAATATATTTACGTTGTCTTCTGGTTTGTAGATTCTGACAAAAAATTTAATTTTCATCTTCATTCTTCTGTACTGTCTTTTTTCGGCTTAACTTTTTAAGAATCCTTTGTTTGTTATTGGTTTTCAATTATTTAATTATGATGCCCCTTGATGTGATATTCTATTTGAGGCCTCTGGCACTTTACGGTATCTCTAAAGTTACAGGTGTTAATCATATTTGGAAAATTTTTTTCATTTTTTATCTCCTCAAACTTTTAAAAATCGTTCTCCCTTTTCCTTTTGATAGTCTAATTACATGTAACTCAGATGATATTGTCGGTTGTAGTGATCATTTTTTGGTCTGTTTCTATTGAATTTTTTTATGATGATAGGTCATTTCTCCTTGCTTCTTATATATCTAGTTATTTTTAGCTTTAGTTTTTTTTTTTTTTTTTTTGAGACAGGGTGTCACTATGTAGTTCAGGCTGGCCTTGAGCTCACTTTGTAGCCCAGGCTGGTCTTGAACTCACAACGATCCTCCTGCCTCAGCCTCCCAAGTGCTGGAATGAAAGGCATGTGACACTATGTCCGGTTCCATTTATTTTTATTCAATGTTGAACATTGTATATTTTAGGCTTGTCTGTGCCATATCTTGTTTTATTCTTTAAAGAACGATATCTTTGTTGTGATATACTGATATTGTTTGGAATAAGTTGTATTTTTAAAATTTACCTTCAGATTTGATTAGGCAAATCCAGAGTATCCTTTATTATAAGGCAAATTTAGCTCCTCTCCCAAAGTGTACCCTTCTGGTAAAGAGCTCAATAAATTCCAATTCCTGTGTTCATTGTCTAGCAAGTCAACAATTGTTCTTTCCTTAGATAATGTGTTCTTGTTTTGGCCTCACGGGGTACTGACCTATGTGTGAGCAGTTCAACCAAAGCTTCAGGCAGATCACACACAGATTTCTGGAATTCTGCATACCATCTTTTGCCCTGAAAATTCTAGGTGCCTTGGCTTCCCGAATGCTGGTCCATGTTCCATCAACACTTGAGAACTTGCAGCTTTATCTGCGTTTCTGTTCCTTGATCCAGATTGTAAATTCATAAGCTCATCTTGACAATATCTTTCCCTTCCTCCTAGATCACAGTTTGTCTTTGTTTATGTTCAATGGCTGAAAACAATCATTTTACATATTTTGTTTGAATTTCTTCTGTTAGTGGCAAGAGGGCAATCCTTGTAGCAATTAATCCTTCATGAGAGGAGGTGAAATAACATACTACATGCAATTTGTTTTTGAGTATAGTTGACAAAATCATATATATGTAAGGTATAAGACATGATATTTTGAGATAGATAGATGTTGCAAAATGATAATTACAACCAAGGTAATTAACATTTCTATCTACTCGCATACTTACAGCAATTTTTTATTTTAGAGAGAATAAAAACAAAATAACAACAATGAAGACAGAAACAAAACAACATAAAAACTATAAAAACGATGCAGGATTTCAAAACAAGATGATAGGAATTAACAGTGGTTGTTGTATTACATATCGTTATCTTCAATGAAGTTGCTCAGATTATCAGATGTAAGAATGCAAGGTACTTACAGCAATTTTTAAATTTTTCCTCTTAGCACCATTTTATAATAGCATGTCAGAAATTATTCTTAAATAAAAAGAAAAATGTGGTCAGCACCTTGCTCCCAGACGTGGGTTAAACAGTTAAGTAAATACCACTCTAGATAAATTTTTGATATATCTGTACATTAACGCATTTTTGAAAATTAAAAAAAACTGGCAATGCCAGATACACTTCTTTGTAACCTGCTGTTTCACTTAATGGAGTATAGTAGACTCTTCACCTCAATAAGTCCATGTCAGCATCATGATCTCTTAATGAGGTAATTAATGACTCTTTTTGTTGTCCCTCCTCTCATCTTTCTTTACACACCCTTACTCCTTCCTCTGACCCCCTTCTCTTGTCTAACAATATTTCCTTTCTCTGTAATTGGACATATTAGAGCATACCTGTCTTTCTGAATCTGACTCATTTTGCTTATTATATGCTACATTTTATAACTCATGGAAGATGCAGTTAGTTGTGGAAAAGATAATTATTTCATTTGCCTCCATGAGTAAAAGGACATCACAACAAATATTTTGATAGACACTCTAAGAAAATAAGTACCAAGTGTCAATACGAGCTAGAAGACAGCACTTCCTATAAAATGAGGATAAAAATGAGATAACCAAACAGTAGCTGTATGGCTCTTAAAAGTCTCATCCACAGTTGGGCAGGTAGGAATGTAAAGTCGAGACTGAGAGGGGTTTTTCAAGGCCCTTTGTGGAGAGAGTTAATGCATGCTACAGCCCCAGCTCCAGTAGGATGTGAGGCTGATGGTATTGCCCCTCAATCAGCCTTGTGAGAGGGGTATAATACAGTCTATTTGGGGGCCATATTCAATCCTGAACTTGGGGACCATGCAAGAAACTAAAGAATGAGGGGAGGGCTTAGTATTTGTGAATGTGCAAGCCAAGGAGAGGTGGCTGTTTGCAAGGCCTGTTTTGACAAAATCTGTCAGGGTAAAGAATGCACAGGTGCTTCCTATGGGCGAGGTATGGGGACACTCATGGGAAAAGAGAGATGAGAAAGGCTGTAACGACTGACTGAGTATTGTTGAGACAGGCGGCCCGTGTGATGAGGAAAGTCAGCCTACTTGAGTCCTTATTGTGGTTAGGAGCAGGACTAGTGTCAGGGACTGAGTTTAAGAATTCAGTGTGGCCAGGCGTAATGGCACACATCTGTAATCCTAGCATTCTGGAAGGATGAGGCAGGAGGACTGTAAATTCAATCCCAGCCTGGGTAACTCAGCAACTTACCAAGACCTTGTCCCAAAAATAAAGAAAAATTTAAAATAGGTCCAGGGATGTAGCTTAGTGAGAAGGCTCTAATACCACACACACACACACACACACACACACACACACACACACACATACACAAATCAATGTGAGGCGAACACATCGTCTTTACCCGACGGGTCATGCCTATTTTACATGCTTCACAAAAGAACCCCAGATCGTGAAACCTGACAATGTGCTCAGCCCTTGAGAAGTGATCTGACTCCATTTCCTGCGGATCCCCTTTTCAGGACTCACTTGGAGTGTGAGAATCTACTCAGATTAGGACAATGAGAAGTAAAATCCATGTGAAAATTATTGAAAAACTGTTGCCTTCTGGCGAAGGCGGAAGAGAAAAACTCACCTGCAATACCTCCTCCTGTGCATTCCTCTGGATTGGAATGTGAGTGATTGTATTTCAAGCAATGGCACCATTTTGTGGCCATGTGGCAATGAACCTAAGGATAGAAAGCATGCAGAGGCTGGCCGGGTACTGCAAGTTTGAGTTCTTGGTACAGGAGTGTATCAGTGCTAGTAAGCTTAACTTCCTCACGCAGAAGAGAGCTCAGTGCTAATGTGAGGTCTCGTGTTCCACTGCAACAGTAGAGCCTAATTTCCCATTTTTGCTTTGTTTGGGAGGTGTTTCCTGCACACTCAAGTCTTGTTTTCTTCTTCTTCCATTCTGTGAGTTACCCAGGAGCCTTATAATGTCATTTACTACTTGATCAGTGAGAGTCAACTTGTTTCATTTGCAATTAAGAACCTTGACCGACACAAAGCATGCAGAATTGCTCAGAGTTTGGCGTGTGGGTCAGGATCCTGTGTCCTGCTCATGTGAAAAGTCCTCTCACTTAGAACTGAAAACCTGACTCACCTTCCCGGCATGTGGGCCGTTGATGTGGCGTGCTAACTCAGCAGCAGCAGTTTTGTCAGGAGAACCATCTTTTGGCAGTATCTCAACAGAGAAGAAGTGGTTCATGGCTCTCAGGCTTACTGTCTGGCTAATTTTGAATATCCGTTGCTTACGTACCGCTGTCACAGTGTCCTCGAGTTCTAAGCACAGTGTCTAGGACTACTGAGGCCGTCTGCTCTCTCCCAGGTTAGCACATTGCCCCGGGGAGCACAATCTGGTATGTTCCTTGGGTAACAGGATTAATACGGCCTTTGTGGCGTTTGCCCGTGCAGACACTGCATCTTTGCTGTTTGTGATTGTTCTCTCACTCGCGAGTGTATCTGTAAATCTCCTTTCTTACAAGGGGGTGGAAGTAGCTTTACTGCTGTGACATTTGTGAGCATGCAGCCCGAAGAGGCTGCCTTGGCAGGTGGCCAGGAGTCAGATCATCACTGTCCCGGATGGTTGATGAGTGGCAGGGATCAGATGGCCTTGCGGCGGGTGATGAGGATGAGAAGGCCAGTGTCCTCAGAGGTGAAGGAGACACTTACAAGGGTAACCGAGGCTCCTCATCAGAGCTGTCTCCCCATCATGCTGGGCTCACTGGCTCTGATACGCAGCTCTCAGGAGAGAGGCAGAACGTAGAGTGTGACATGATGAGAGAGGTCCTCAGGTCACTGGGGGTCTGACGATGCGGTCACATCCGGACAGCGTCAGGGCCACACCCTGTGCTCTGGCATTCACTGCCCATTCATTTGGTTGTTTATTATTGTTGCAGATGTGGTTTGCTTGCTTTCTGTCACACGTGTCTGAATTGTTTGAGCCTGACATTTAGAATAAAGCTCTCGATATACATCCTGTTAGCAAGGGAGTTTGGTTTCTTTTTTTCTTGAAAAAAAAATGCTATTGAAATTATAGCTCTGAACAATAGGGTAACATTCGTACATGGAGGCCCCATTAAATTATTATTTTTTAATAGTGGAAAGGTTACTGAAATTGACTGGTACAATGTATACATGCTGAGTTTGCACTATATTATTACTTTTGGGCAGCGTGAGGGGCTGAGGAAATGGAATCAAACGGTTCCAAAATCTCAGCAGTATATCATGGGAGCTCTAAACACATACTTACACTTTAAAAAAAAAATCCAGAAAATATAGTGGTGAGGGAGGTTTATCTGAGAAAATTCTCTTTAGAAGTGACATGGTGACTAAATTATTATTATTGACATAAAGGTGATTTGAAAGAAAAAGCACATCCCTGTGCGTACAATATGTTGGTTGCTTTTTCTCCACAACGTGTCCTCTTTCTACCTTTGCCCACGTTGTAGAGTTTGCTGGATGTAGTTAATGACTTTAAAATATTAAAATCTTTCTGAATAGGTACCCCAGGGTCAGTACCACCTGGTTAAGATGAGAAAGAAATTGACAAAGATCACATCTCTGACCCCTACCCTCAAGCCTGTTGGCTGTATTTCCCGGCTTCCTTTGCTGTCCCCGATTCGTCCATTGCTCCCAAGTGGGGCGCGCGGCTTGATAAATCACAGGCCGCTCACCAGTCACCAGAGTGGGCGAGGGGAGGCCAGATGGAAGGGAGCGTGGATGGCCCTCTGTCACTACTGGCCGGCTGCCATCGATGGACACTCGGCACTCCTTGGCGAGGGAATGTCACTGTCCTGCCTGTGTAGAAGGCTGGCCGTCCCGGAGCCCTCCAGAGCAAGAGGCAACACGGAGCCATGTTGTCATGGTTACTTAGCTATTTCCCCAGAGTTGTGACATCAGCTCTCCAAGGGGCAAGAGCACTACCTCATGCATATGTATGTACTCGGCAGGGGCCTGGCCACATCTGAGCATCTTACAATATTTTTTTGTAACGAACAGTAGTGAAGGAGGGAGAGGGGACATGGAGAACGGAAGTAAAAAATGACAGGGGCATGTGTTATGAAGGGAATCGAAGAAAGTGCTTGGTAGCTATTGGGAGAAGACGGGAAGGGTTAATGCTGAGCTGGGATTTCCAGGTTTAAATTAGCCATCTGCTTGGTCACACTGGGCTCTCACTCACATCCGCGGAGTTAGACTTTTAAAAATGGCCTTCTCAGACCATCTCTTATTCCGCTCGCGAAAGATCCTACGACAAAATGCGGCTGGGGAGACCAGCGCCGTGCGCTGGATGCAGAGATGGAGACACCTTGAGAATTCACAGTGAGCAGCAGGGTTCACGCGGGGGCTGGTGATCCTGCGCCCCAGCTCAAGGTTTGTCATTTGTGCTGTCTCTGTCCTCTGAGGAACCTGGACTTCCAGGAAGCACACGCGCCCTATGATCATTTTTTCCCACTGGACTGTGAGTTCCTCAACAGCGCGCATGTTGTCTAGGTTGTTTTTATCTATATCACGCACTTAGTCACTTAATGAATACTGAACCAAGTAAAATTCATGCCTGAGGGACTCTAAGGTTTCAAAGAGAGCCAGGCAATCGACTGTTCTGGACATTGTGAATGTACCAAGGCCAGGTTGGATACAAATACTTTCCAAAATAAAGCAGTGCTATTTAAAGAGTAGGACATGTGGGGGAACCCCCTGTTCATGTAACAGTTTCAAGTGGACACCTCAGCCCAGGCATAACCTGTTTCAATGTCTTCCTGTGACCGTGTTGTTACCAACACCCCGCACGGCCCCACATCCTGCTCAGGAGCCCCGTGCTTAGGTGCAGGCAGCAACAGAACAGCCAAAAACCAAGTAGGTACAAGATTACTTAGTGCTGGGTAATTGTCACATCAAGGAGCTCCTGCAGCTTGTCACAAGTTGTTTAACACTTGAAGGGGCTAAGCTGGAACCATGGGAGGGAGACCAAACCAAGGCTATTTCCAAGGCCCATGGCATACTGGGTGGTGTTTGTTGAAGAATTCACCTCACTTATGGAAGGGCAGCTGTGGCACGTGGGCTGCAAACAAGTCTTGAGGTGGGAGGATAGAGACCGAATCTGGGTGTTCCCTAAATTCGGCACAGATTGATCAAGTTCATTGCCTTTGGGTCTCTAATGTTCACTCTGAGTTGCTAGCAGGTGTCTGTCTGTTTGGTGATTCTGAGGGTTAAGGGCTGCATCTTTTCTATTTCTCTGATCTCTTGAGGATGTGCACACTAGAAAGGGATTTAGCTTCTCTGCGACTTTCCTATAAAGGTTGGCAGAGGAACTGATTTTCTGTGACTTATAAACGCAAATAAATGGGGCATGGTCTGCACTGTTATTCCAGATAGTAATTGCTGCATAACAAATGGCCCCAAAATTTAGTGGCTTAAAGCCACAACAAATTTATTATGCTTCATGATTTTGCTAGGAAGGCTTGCCTGTGATTCCTTTGCTTGTGTGGCGTTGAAGGCGATCACATAACAAAGACACTGGCTTCACTCTCGCATCGTGCTGAGGGCTTTGGTGTGGATGGCGGGAAGGCGGCACTGGGCTGATAGTGCCCTAGATCTCCTGTGTCACCCCCAGCTTGACTTTGTCAGCAAGGTGAGTGGCTCAGGACTCCGAGCACGAGTGTCCCAGAAGACCAAGGATGATGCTGTGAGTCTCTATCACTTGATCTTGGGAACCCATTTTGTCACATTCTGCAGGTCAAGCAATTCGCTGGGTTCAGTATAACCAATTGCTTTTCTTTCTTCTTTTTCTCACATTTTAATAAGCCAGCAGATAATTCAAGAAATGAATAAGTCGCAGGCTGTGACAAATGCTGTGAAGTAAAAGTTATGTGGGGGGCCACTGGGAAGGGCGGCAGAAGGGACATTTGCACTGAGGGACGATGAAAGGAATCCAGCTGCAAAGTGTCAGATAGGTGAAGAGTTCCAGGGGGAGGGATCACATGTGCTAGGTCCCTAAATCAAAGCTGATCTTGGAGAGATAAAGGAGCAGGAAGAAGCCTGCAGGGCTGAAGCGACCCTTGCCAGGGTGAAAGGTTGGGGAGGGGTAGGATGTCCCAGAGTCAGTTACAGCTCAATAAGAAGTTTAAATTTCATTTTAAAGGCAATGTAAAGCCACTGGGAAGGTTAGGCAGAAGAATCAAATGATCTAACTTAGATTTTTAAAAGCACATGACTATCTTCTTTATAAACAATGTAACAGGATTGAGGTGGGGCAAGAGGGCATCTGGGAAACCTGTTTGGGGCTGCTGCCTGGGTCCAGCTGTAGGGAGAAAGGAGGCCTGGCTGGGTGGGTGGCTTGGGGGTGGACAGATAGTCAACATGTTTTGGAATTAGACTGAAGGAACTTGCTGATGGGAGAGATGTGGTATTCAAAAAAAGTAAAACAGAAATTGCTTCCAGACTTTTGATTTGAGGAACTCATAAGTGGTCAGGTTGAGTACTGGGGATGGGGATTCTCGCACAACAAGCAGATCAGGCCTGGGGCTCAAAAACTGGCTGTGTTAGCTTTGCTCATGGCTGTAGATAGCCAAGGGACGTCTGGAAGTCAATGCCAAGGGCAAACCTAGAGATAAGCTTGGAAGTCAGCTGTTGCATTGGCTCTTAAAGCCCTGGGAGTGAGTGATGTCACCCCTCCGGGATAAGCCTGGGCTACCTGGTGTGTTGAGCCTGAGCGAGGAGGCAGTGCTCTGAAAGGAGAGGTCAGCAAAGGAGAAGCACTCCAGAGAGACTGTCATCAGAAACAAGGGGAGATGATGTCAAAACAAACGCGGGCATACAGCACCTTGTCACCTGCCAAGGGGCAGACCTGGGAGACAGAGAGGTAAGGAGAAAGGAGATGGGAACAAGCACCAATGGCATGGATGGAGAGACCAGTGGGAGGGGAGGACTTGGAGGCAGAAGCTCTTGTCAGAAGAAACGAAATGGGAGGAAAGACAGTTTTTTTAAAGGTGGGAGATGCTGGTACATATTGTTGGTGGATGAGAATGGGCTCATACAGGCATGGTGGTACATACCTGCAATTCCAACTCTCCGAGGCTGAGGCAGGAGGATCACAAGTTCGAGCCCAGCTTGGGCAACTTAGTAACTTAGAACTTGTCTCAAAACAAAAACAAAAAATAAAAAGTTAAAAGGAGCTAGGGATATAGCTCAATGCAAGGTCCCTGGGTTCAGTTTCTGACAAAAGATACCGTGCGGGAAACCCCAGCACAACCCCTGCTAGGGGCTGAGTTTCGGAGAATGAAAGGCCCGCTGGGACTCACCTCCCCTCTACTCTTCCATAATGTGCAGTTTCTGTCCCCTACCCCCAGCCCCTGCTGAGCTACACAAAAACAACTATGGCTATGCAGAAAAAGAGAAAAGCCTCACCTAGAACTGGGCTCATGATGACTTTAAGAAATGAGTGTGAGCAATTCTGTGACCCAGTTGATATTTTTTTAATCATCAAAAGGATGTAGTGGGTTTATTTTCCTTCTGAACATTTACAGAGCCCCCTTATATCCCTGGCATCTTGCTTGGTGCTTCTCTGGGCCTGACCTGGTGTAATCACATGGCCCCAGGTAACAGGTAGGTGTTGTTAGGCCCTTATAGCTTCAGAAACTGAAGATCAGAGGGGGCAGGATTTGATTTAGGTCACTTGGAGACAAAGTATCAGAGCCAAGAGGAATCAGTCTCAGAGCTGCATCTGTAATGACCACTCTTGACACCAACGGGACATGAGACTTCCCTTCGATAATAGTTTTCTATCACTTCTGTAGCAAATTACCATCAGTTTAGCAGCTTAAAACAATACAAATTTAATAGCTGGGCATGATGGTACATTCCTCTAATCCCAGGACTCTGGCAGGCTGAGGCAGGAGGATAGCAAGATTAAACCCAAACTGGATAACTTAGAGACTTAGTAAGACCTTGTCTCAAAATTTAAAAGAAGATACGGCTGGGGATGTAGCTTAGTGCTAAGGCTCTGTGTTTAATCTCAAGTACCATCAAACAAATAACCACCAGATTTATTACCCTGAAGTTCTGTACACCAAAAGAAGAGCATGAGTTTCTTGCATGGCTGGAATTAAGGCATCTGTCGCTCTGCATTCCTGTCTGTGGTAAGCCTGGATTCCCCCCTTTTTGCTGACTGTCAGTGGAGGGTCATTTCTGTCTTCAAGAGACTGGCTGTATCCTTTTGCTCATGACATCCTTCCTCCACCCTCAATGCCAGAAACGGGAGGTTGAAGTGAATCTCCTTCACAGGGTCACAGGTTTTTAGGGATCTCTTTGGGAGGCTGTTATTCTGTGAACCTTTCATTTACATGTATTTTGATGAAATAGTGGACTACCGATCTGTTTGAAATTATGCCTTTTCATGAATGACAAAAAGTGATATAATTTTGTTGTATATGTTCACCCATTAGAAGTTAGAAAGGTTAACAAAGGCTGAAATATTTTCAAATGATTGTGATTCAGTTCTGAGCTAGATTTGGGAAGAGCCAGATAACTTTTTCTTTGGGAGGGTTAATCATGCTTGATTGGATTGGGAGCCACAGCGGATAGGTAGAGCACAGTTCTGGGCGTGTCTGAGTGGGTCATGGAGGCATGAGTTTGTGTGCTATGTCTGGTCCCTCGCCTTTTCCTCCCTGGCACTGTTAACCTTCCTCTGTTTCCTGGCTGCTATGAACTGAACATCTCTACTCATCAAGTCTTTCTACCATGATGTTTCTTCTTTGGATCCAGGTGACTTTGGACTGAATCCTCTGAAACTGTAAGCTAAATTAAAACTTTTCTTGT